AGAGATACTATAGAGATACTATAGAGACACTGAAAATTTGCGTCATAATGGACCCTATAACGCCCCCTCGTCCCATACCTAACCTCATCGTATATAAAAGTTTACTTTCCCGGTAGTATGCTGACAAACTTGTAATGATTTATGAATGGATCGCATAATGTTTTTACAACATTGTTTATTGGCTACCATAAGTACACGTACGTGACTGTACTGTGCCTACAACGGCACGGCAAGAAAAGCATCTTTGCCTACTATTTTTGACTCACATCTCGCATGCTGGGCCGCGTTACTAGGAGCAAGAATAAGTCCGGACACTGTACATAGTAAGTCAGCTCACGACAGCTGATGCGCAGCGATTTACCAGTACGCATTTTTACCTCCGCCAAGGGGTTGGCAGGAGGTTATGTTTTCACCGGCGTGCGTTTGTGGGTTTGTGTACAGCCTAACTGAAAAAGTTATGGACGGATTGTCATAAAATTTTCAGGATAGGTCTGAAATGGAGAGAGAGAGAGAGAGAGCCCTATGTCGCTCATACAATGACATCATCACTGTACTTGGCGGAGGTCTGCGCTCTCTGAGTGCTCTAGTTTTAGAAATGTTTTTATATCGTCGATCAGCAACATTAAAGAGTGTACGGTGCCTCAACTGCACAAAAAACGGCTATGCCTATGTCTTGTGCCATAAAATTAATTAAACTACGAAAACTGCTGGATATTACATTAATTGTTGCTGGTCTTGCTGATGCTTCCTAGTCGAATTATAGCAGCACACTTATAGCTGCAGCTTTTTTGTTGTTCTTTTCAATAAATTTCAAAACACACATGAGCGATGCGCACATGTATCATTTTGTGCAGGACAAAAAGTTTCGCGGATATTTTTGTTTGACATCAAGTAAACCGCCGTGTGGATGAGCAAACCTTCTTGAATATTTTTTTTCTCGACACTTACTCTCCACGCCGAAAACTCACAAGACATACATCGAGTTTACGATTCATAGCCGTGCCGAGTGGCTCTGCCTGTTACAAACATGCAGGCGCATAACCGCACGTGTAGTACTTACAATTCTTGAAGATCATCTGGGATGGGTATCTCAGCTTGGGAGAAACTACGCTTGCTTATCGGCAGGCTGAAAAACAGATGAACGTGTTAACCACACACAACGAAGACGACACAGGTAAACAAAACTACCTGGATGTCACACCGACACATCCCTTTATGACATCTAGTGACACTAACTGCTTACTTGGTGACATTTTTGACGTTATTTAATTACTTTAGTGACTGTAGTGAATCTAGTGACTTGATTGGTCGCTGTTTTTTTGCGAGACGTAGTGGTTTCTTTTGGTGAAATCTTTACACGCGATCTGTTTGTTGTCACGCAGAACAGAATAAGGAATGTGTACGTAAATAATGCTCGATAAATGACGTTACGATACATGCTACGGACTGCCTACGATTACCCCAACGTAAAACAAAGTACCACGCACCAGCCCTCCCTCCCAAAGCACTCCCTAAACTTCCCCAGACATCGATAGTCTTTGCTGAAATTTTCCTAGACATCGAATTATTTCAGAAATAAGAAATACGTGTCGAGTAACTGTGGTAGTAATGAGCTTACAAATATGTACGAACGTAGGGGCATCTTATTCTTATTCACGGTACTGCAAAGAGCAGTGTGTTATGAAGAGGAAACAAGTTTGAATTTGTGCACAGCTCACGGGCGCCTGATTTTGGCAACAGCTGGTCGTTTGATATGAGACCGTACACTGTACAAATAGACATGCAAAACTGCATGCACGTACACAACACACCGTTGTCTTAATTACTCTCTTCAATACCCGTCTCTTCCTCCCTTGCTCCCGTTCTTGCTATTTCTCTCCCTCTCTCTCTCACTCACTCCCTCTCCCTCCTTCCCATCCTCCCTCCCTCACTCCCTTCCCATCCCCCTTGCCCTCTCTCTCTCTCTCTCTCTCTCTCTCTCTCCATCTCTCTCACTCTCGCTCTTTCTATGTGTATACACAAATTGGGTTCCAGGATGTTTGTCATCATGTTATCAATTGTTATCAATGTGTTGAGGATACTCTCAAGGTTTTAGGCAAAATTTTACCGATTTTTCATTTTCAATTTTATTCGATGGCTAACACTATGTGCCACTTTCGTACATGCTCATTTCTTCATATAACGGTACATGTGAACTGTCAGAGCGATTTGATTCCCCGCGTACATGTGTAGTAAGCAGGGGCTGATGTCATCATGATGTCAGAGACATGATACAACCACGATATTCACTAAGCCAGTATCATTCAGTGTCAACCCTGCTACAGCTGTCATTACATGTATTCATGTACATTCATGTACATCTGCTAGTGATCCAACAAGTATCCCAGGCCCAAAATAGTTCTAACACCTCGCAACACACCTTACTGTAGTGGGGTACAAGGCGCACGTTTGTTGACATATTAGCTTTGTGAGGTCAGGATGAGCGCGTTCTCTCAGTGTAATTTCTCAGAATTTCTCAAGGTGCATGGAACATTTGACCAATTTAGTCATGTCAGTTAGTCATGGATATGTCGCAATAAGTACTAACAGTAGATATTTCACATACGTTCACCCATTTTGCACACAGGCAGTAACTCATTGTGAAAAATAGAAAAACCCTGATTTCTCCGTTTCGATTTCTGACATAGTAGCCGATGTATAAATGGATATTTCTCTGTGATTACAACTCGGATTAATTTAATTTTACACTCGTTTTAATGGTAACATATTGTGGTAAAGAAGTGCGTCAGGGATTGTTATTAAGTGCCGTATTTTATTAGTTAATGCCTCTTTATTCGCTAAAATTTTCAATTCTAACACAAATTGATTTTTAAGCAGTTTTTTCCAGTTTTCTCGGTAAATAAGAAAAATCCTGACGCACTATTTTGGTCCATATTGTGCTTAACATGTGGCAAAAATGTTGTATCCTCACTCCTTCTGGTAGTTGAGAAATATCCAAAATACCATTTTTACATAAAAATTAAACATTTGTGTGGTAACATAATTAGGTGCTGGAAATTTCATGAAATTTTTTGGCTTGAGCATAGAGATATATCTCCTCTATAAATAAAACAAGTGATTGATTCGATTCATTCGCCAATAAACGTTTAATCTTCATTAGAGCAATACCCGTGCAAAAGGTGGAGAGTATCCTTAATATTTGTTGCCAGTGTATTAGCATTTGTTGTCATTATGCCATTATTTATTGTCATCGTGTCATTATTTGTTGTCATTGTGTCATTATTTGTTGTCAGCATGTCATTACTTGTTGTCATCATGTCATTATTTATTGTCACCATGTCATTACTTGTTGTCACCGTGTCATTACTTGTTGTCATTGTGTCATTATTTGTTGTCAGCATGTCATTACTTGTTGTCATCATGTCATTATTTATTGTCACCATGTCATTACTTGTTGTCACCGTGTCATTACTTGTTGTCATCGTGTCATTACTTGTCATCATGTCATTATTTATTGTCACCATGTCATTACTTGTTGTCATTGTGTTATGATCATTACTTCACCGTTTATTCATTTCTCGGCTAGGGGTTGCCACACTTACTTCTTGTTGGGCCGTCGCACGCGGTCGATGGTGAGAATCTCATTGTAGGCCTTGTCCCAGCCGGCAAACTCGCACACGTAGAATTCTCCCTTGATCATGAGAACCTTTGCTTTCCACCATCCACACGGCTCATCCTCCACCGCCCGTGACATCACCTATATTACAGACATACAGGAGACCCTGTGAGCACAGACACAGACAGACAGAATACCGCGTGATAGCCTGGGACACACAAAACGGGTCAGGGCACACACCAACAGTAGAGGGATGGAGACAGCAATATTAATGAAAACTAGAAAAAAACCTTATAGTCAGTATTTATCCCAATCTTCATATCATCCACTTTGATAGCTGAATAATTATGCAAATTAAAAAAATGCTTGATTCCAAACATTTCATTTACTCTATACTGAATGTGCTTGGGGGCGTGCGTGTGCGGGGGCAGAGTGACGGCCGACCCAGCGCACCGAAAACAAAAACCGTCGAGCAAATTCCAGAAGGAAACGATCGCACTGCTCTTCCGACAAAAGCGGAAGTATCCGGCCACAGGGCAAAGGCAAACATTACGATGCCGGGTAAATAAATGACCTCTCGCATCTTCGCGTATCTATTTACGAGGCGGCACGCCCCCGTAGATCGGTAGCTATTCCCCCGAGAACACTCTTCCACAACTCTAGGGCTCGTTGTCAGAGACAAAATTAGTTTTAACGTTAGTCTTAACAGCTTAACATTAACTTTTTCTCATAGGCTGTCGATAGAAATACAGTAGCAAGTAGAGTTTCTTGTGCGCAAGCGTACACAGGTCCAGTCTACGAGGAAAAGTCAATGTTGAGATTAACGTTCAGACTAATGTTGTTCGTGACAACGGGCTTCTGTAGTCTTTTCGCAGATTTCTCATTTCATGGTGGTGACGTTGCCGGTGGGGAGCGTGCGGGGGTGGTAAACGAGCGCTCGCCGCACGCACGGTTTCTGGGAGTAATCCCTGCGCGCGCTCATCCCTGTGATGCGCGATCCCAAACACCCCTCCAGTGGGGAAAATCCCGACAGTGGGGGGAAACCCCTGTGCGTATCGCCGTGCCAACATTTCGCCGTCCGCGACCCCGGGTTGACCTTGACCTGACCACGGATCGAGAGACGGTCTTCCATGAAGAGCCGAGATTGGGCAGGTCGCGACCACACTCCGACAGAGGGCAGGTCGCGAATCACGCTCGAAAAATCCGAGTTCCCCACACTCGCAGCGGCGCACTTCGGCGGGCGTGCGCCGCAGCCAGGGGGCGCCACGCTAGCGCGTACCCACCTCCACATCCTCGCCCTCCTGCGGCTCGAAGAGCTGTGTGTCTGGATCCGGCGGCAGTCGTACACTGGAGAAGGGCAACCTGATATCCATCTGCCATCTGT